AATGAATGTAAGATTTGTGGAGAAATTGTATAAATTTGCATAGTGTTAGATTCAGAATAGGAGCATATGAGCCAGTGATTGTGTCTAATGTTTTTAAGGTGCTAATTGGAAGTAGAAAAGAAAAAAAAATTGTTGCAATAACATCATATTGCAAAAAAGTTTTTAAAATATGATGTATGAATAAGAGTATGATTGGTATAGATTTGGGTTGTATAAATGTGATTGAACAATTGTTAAGGGTGCACACGAGAGGATCATGTAAACTTCAGAATTTAGAACCTTATTTTTAGGCATTATCTTGGCTACCTATTTAGGCTCGAAAAGCAAAAAATATCAAAAAATACAACTTGACTCCATTATGACCCTTTCATGGAGGTAGTTTTTATCCGCTAGTATTTTCCCTTTGAATCTCTTTACAATTCGAAATCAAATTCAAATCTCAGTAGAAGAAAGGAAGAATCGACTTACTACGGTTGTAATACGAATAAATACATATATTTAATTATTTTTATTTACATAATAATTGTTTGAAGCTCATATTCCATCAAATTTTTAAATAAAAACATTAAAATGTTGAAAATGTTCATATATTTAAAAAAAAAAAAAAAAAAAAAAAAAAAAAAGGTAGTGGGGCTTCCAGGCACTTCGTGCCTTCTAGCCCTGAAGATGTTTAGTATAAATGAAGTTTTTATTCGGAGGGCTTCCAGCCCATAAGAAATTTTTCCCAAGACCCAAGAGGAGGACCGAACCCCAGCCGACCAGCCGTTGACTTTTTTGTCAAGACTTCTTCGTAAATGTTTTGTCGAAACTTCTTCGTAATGAGCGTAAATGACCAAAAATAATGTTTATGTTAGCATGTTAGATCTAACACGTTTTCTAACATGTTTTCTAACATCGTAGAAAACTCATGATTTCATCGTAAATGTTTTGTCATGATTTCATCGTAAATGTTTTGTCAAGACTTCTTCGTAAATGTTTTGTCAAACATGAACGTAAATGTTTTGTCACTTTTCTGTCACTTTTCAGGAAAAAACATTTTTATTATTATATATAAATGAATTTTACAAAACCACCACTACCCTTCTTTGGAAATAAGAGTAGATGTAAAGATATTCTATTGAGAGAACTTAAGAAACTACCGAATGGTCTAACATTTGTAGACTTGTTCGGTGGAAGTTTCTATATATCTCATTTGTGCCATACAATATTTCCTGACTCAAAGATTATATGCAATGACTTCGACAACTATATGGACCGTCTCAAACATATACCAGACACAAACAATATATTGAAAGAGTTAAAAGAAAAGATACCTATAGGTAAGATGGAACGTATACCATTAGATAAGAAAAATATTGTGAGAGAGGTTTTGAAAAAAGCAGAATATATAGACTGAGATAGTATATCTGCTAGACTATTATATAGTGGTGCTATAAGAGTTCATGACATTGAAACACTTATGTCAAAAGTTTTATATCTTAACTATACAAATGTTTTCAAAGAGAACATAGAAAAATATATTGAGGGTATAGAGTTTGTGAGATGTCATTGGACAGAGTTGTATGAAAAATATAAAGACAAGGAAAATGTTTTCTTTATAGTGGACCCGCCGTTCTATAACACATGGGATTTTCAATACCAAGTAGACTGGACTTTGAGAGACTCTTTAGAAACTTTAGACGTTTTACATAACCATCCATGCTTTTACTTTACATCCGATAAAAGTGGTTTGGAAAGTGTCATGAGATGGTTAGAGGACATACATGACTATGAGTTTATATACGATAAGATAGAATATGAGAGAGGTCCTATAAACTGGAGAAAGTGTCATAACAAAGAAATTTTACTAGTAAGTAAATGTGGTTTGAAATAGGACTACTTGTTTTAGGTTTTTTCCATTGTGTCATTTACTTATTTGACGTGGCAGAAAGATATAGAGAATATGAAGATGAACCAATGCCTGCAAATGTTCAGTATATGTACTCGTAAGAGATATTTTTATCTAATATTAAATGGACGCACAGAACTTAGCGAATGCACAGCAACCTGGACAACCAAACCCAGAGAATATTCCAAATGAAGTTAGAATACAAACTGCAATGGCAAACTATGGTCAAGTGCCAACAGATGTACAAATGCAAACTGCCATGTCAAATGACGCTGCGTTAGGTTTGCCACCATGGTATGCAAATATGAGATGGAAAGAGTTTTATACAAACCCTGAAGTGGGATATAAACAACTTTATGCAGATGACGCGAACACAGGAGTTGACCCAGAATATGTTTTCTACCAGAGGAGAAACAGAATGTATGAGCTCCAGTTAAAGAATGCTATGGAACTCAACAGGAAACGTAAGAGACTAGGCGGACATTAGATTTTTACATATAGTAAAATGGGTTTCTTCAGTAGATAGGAAACTTCTTTCGAAATGTTGGAAGAGGTATATGGAATGGAATAAAAACCGTAGGAAGAGGAATTTGGAACGGTGTCAAAAATATTGGTAAAAGAGTAGGTCAGTTGTTGGTATTATACCTAAAGACCCTGAACCAGAAGAACAAGCCCTGTTATACAACAGCCTGAACCTGCACCACAGTCTAGTTGGCAACCAAATCCAACACCTCAACCGTATTAAAAAATTATATTTTTACCGTTCGATAGTAGTTGTATATGAAACTAAGTTCTAAGTAAAACGCATGGTATAATGGAATTATTCTCTTTCTTCCATCTGTTAGTAAACCATACTTGAAAGTCTGAAATACTTCCACTTGGTGGTTCATATAGCTTTGTAGGTTTTTCGTAAAAGTCATTTGCCAAGCATAAGAAAGAGTTTTGGCACCAGAAAATGAAGCATGAACAATAATAGCAGCTGGGTCGAAAACATCTTTAAATAAATATGGTTCATCTCTTGCATATCGACTGTAAATATTTGCTAAAGGAAGTTCGACTTTCTGATTTAACATTCTTTGCAAATAATACCATGACATTGCAGTGAATTCTGTATATATTTGTTCGTCTTTCTTTGGATTGTCTTCGTAGATTTGAAATGACACTTGTGAATTTTGTTTGTCATATACAATTCTCACATAAAGTGTGCTCTCGGTATTTGCATATTCATCAGCATATTTTGCATAACATGAATTTATTTTATCTTCTATATTTTTTAACGCAGTCTGTAGAGAAGATGAAAGGTCAACTTGTATTAGCTCAATTTTTCCCACATTTTTCGTTTCCCTTCAGATATATAATCTATATGAAACCTTACAATAAATGGAAAACTTTTATCTTCTACAGACACAAACTTCATTCTACGAAAGCCAATAGCTTTTGTGACAGATGGGTCTCTTAGCCATCTTAATGGGTAGTCAAAACGATAGCCTTCATGCTTTACGGTCTCTGTCTCAAACTTTTGACCGACATTAGTAAAAAGTTCATCTAATGGTTTAGTTGTAGCAACTCTTGAATTTTCTTTTTCTATTGAAAGCATATTTTATCTAGAATAAAAATGTCGAAAGAAACAGCGTCTATGAGAGAAATACAACACAACCGACAACTCATTTTGCAAGCTCTAAATAAGAACACAACAAACTTTTCAAACTATTCTAAGATATCTGAGTCATTGAAAGAAGGAAACTTAAAACTGACGATAAACCCAATGACAGATGAGTTTCTGTTTCAAGACAGTAAGAACCATACTGTCTGTGTAAATCCAACAAAAGGAACTTTAAACGAGAAGCCTATAGATGAACTTCTTTTGAAAGCAGATATTGACAACAAAGCTGACAAAGAATATGTCATTGAAAAAGTTCAAGAAGAACATGACAGAGCAGATGCAACATATGCAACGAAAGAACATACTCATCCTGAACTAGCAGACAAAACATATGTTGACAATAAAATGTCAAGTGAAGTGACAAGAGCTGACAAAGAATATTCTAAAAAGACTCATACACATACCATTGCAAATATTACAAACTTACAAGAAACCTTAAACAGTAAAAGTGACGTTGGACATACACATTCTATATCTGAAATAACAGACTTAAACGTTAGCCTTGAAAAGAAAGCTGACAAAACATATGTCAACAGTGAGTTAGAGGAGAAAGTAGATAGGGGTTGTATGGCTAGTGCGTTAGTGAAGAAGGCAGATAAGGAATATGTGGATGAAAAAGATGAAAAAATTAAAGAAATGGTTGAATGGTACCATGAACGGACTTCAAAGATTTTAAAAACTAAAGCCGATACAGGATGGGTTTCAGGGTGTTTAGACCTTAAAGCCGACAAAGAAACTGTAGATATGTTGACACAAACGGTTTCAAGTCATACCAGAGGTTTAATGGAAGATGGACAACAGTTGAAAGAGCTTGAGAAAGGTGTTACAGAGTTAAGGAATACAAAAGCAGACTCGACATGGATAACTGGATATGTAGATGCAACAAAAGAGTATTTTCGCATGGACAGAAGGAACATACCCACAAAAATATCATAGACATAGCATCTCTGACGTAAATGAACTTGAAGAAAAGTTATATAAAAAAGCAGACAAAACAGAGCTTCAAACGTTAAAGACAGAAATACTTCAAACAGTATATCCTATAGGTTCTATTTACACGTCAATGAACTCTACCAGACCAGAAGTAGTACTTGGTCTGGAACTTGGACTCAAATAGTCGACAGGTTTTTGTATTGTGCAAACTCTTCAAAGGAAACAGGTGGAAGTAAAACGATTTCAGGTGAAAACCTACCTGCACACAGTCATTACATAAATTTAACTACAGCTGAAGCAGGTTGGCATAAGCATAGATATTGGGATTGGACAGGAATGACAAAAGGTAAAGGATATGATGTTAAAGACGACGTTAAGTTTGCTATAAATTGTTACTGGGATGACACTCAGGGAGGAGGAAAGCCATACACATCGCTTTCAGGATATCGAAACAACGGGACAAAGTAAAGACTACATGCCACCTTACATGACAGTTTACGCATGGTATAGAAATGCTTAGTCGTCATTTTCAACTTCTTTAGCATATTCGTCAGGAGTTGTCTTATATTTGTTAGGAACTGTCTTTGAAAGTATACCACCTTGAACTTTGACAAGTTTGAAACGAGGTCTGACAATAGTAGTTTTATCTTCTGCTTGCAGTCTGTACATTTTGCCATGTTTGCCTAAAACTTCATAATATTCTCTTGTATACTTTCTTCTATTTTTACGAACACGAATGCGAGTACCTGTCGAGTTCCCATTGTTGTCATAGTCAATAGTATTTTCATATGGGTCGCGTTTAGGTATTTCTATTTTTACTTTGTCACCTTTCTTAAGTTTGAAGCCTGGCATTCTTTCTTGTTTGTCTCTTTTGACTAAACTATTAAATATATAGTCTTTCTCTAAGTCAGGGTTGTTTTTCATTTCTTCGGGGGAGTGGTTTCCCAAACCTTTTTGTTTACGGCTATTGTAAATATTTAAAACTTGTCTCATCTTTGCCATGGAGAAGTGTCTATATTTGTCGTCATATGACATTTCATTTGCTTCACCACCTTGTGGTTGGTTTAAGTCTCTTAAGATTTTTATACAACTGTCAATGACACCAAGAGCAGAATGGTTTTGGTCGACAATGAAATATTGGTTTACATTTTTTGAACGCAGATAGTTTTTAATATCGTCTGATTTGAAAGAACTTTCACAGTCAGATGTCAGTTTTGTTGGATGGTATTTGTCAACGAATATTGTCAAAGCAGTTTTCACATCTAAAATATTTTTGGACTGTAATGGTATGGCTTCACAGTATCTTGTGTTTTGACCGACAAATATTAGCCAGTATGGTGGTCCATCTTCTCTATACCTCGGAATGTTTTCCAAGATATCCATAAACCAAGCATTTGGTGTTGAACTAAAGATTTTTATCATGAGTGCTTTCTTTGTCGCTTTTAGAAACATAGGGGTCCTTGTTTGGATTCGTCATTTTTTAACCCATAAGAAATGGGTTTATTTGGCGCATTAGCAGGAGTTGCATCCAGATTTTTGCCCGCAGTGGGAACAATAGCCAGAGGTGTATTTGGAGTTGGAAGGAAGATTTTGAGTACATTAGGTATACTTAAAGAGAAAGCACAACCTATTATACAAACTGTACAGAAAGGTTGGGATGTAGCACGAGATGCAGCAAATCTTATTCCAAATCCTGAAACAAGAGGAAAAGTTCAAGGATGGATGGACAATGTAGGAAGACAAGCAGGAAACTATTATAACAAAGCAAATGACTACTATAACCAAGCAGGACACTATATGGACCAAGGTGAAAGATTCTTTAACAGAGGATATAACCATGCACAACATGGGTAAACAATAACCAACCTCAACCGCCTCAAACGTGGGGAATGTAAAGTTTTTTACTGAGATGAAATGAACAATACAGCATTGAGACAAATGGGTTCAAGATGGATTTGTCGACTTCCAGCAGTTACACAACACGTGTTTGTCAAGTTCTTCCTATACCTCAGGAAGTTTTAGACCGACTTAAAAAACAAAACAACCAGTTGAAAACAAACCAAACTAAAATTTTTTACTGAGATGAAATGACCGAAGAAGTTGAAACGGTAGATTTGACACCACAAACAAAAAGTTCAGAACCATTGTCAAAACCTGTCAAAGAACTTACAGATGAAGAGAAAAATTCAATAATAGAAAGTGCCAGGTCTGGAAATACAAACCCTAACTACAAAGTCACTTTTCATAGAAATGGAACGGCTAGTATCTCAAAAAAGAAACAGACTCTCACAAATAAAATATTGAAGTCTGAAGGAGCTTTCGAGACAACAGATGGAAAAGTTTACTTCACTGACCAACAGTTCATTATAGAACATCTCATTGACTTAGAGTCGAAATATTCTAAACTTTACAACAAACACAAAAAGTTGAAAGGAAAACAAAAACAAATGGCATATGATATTTATGAAGATGTTGACGACACAACTGTTCCTGCAAGTGAGGTAAAGTCAGAGGAACCGAAAAGTGACGAAAAACCGATAGAAGAAGAAAAACCAAAAACTGAAGATAAACCAAAACCAAAGTTTAGTTTCCAAACTAAACCAAGTCAACCTTCATTAGCTGGTATGGGTTGGCGTCAAAGACTTATGGCAGCAGGTTATGTAAAGTAAAGAAAAAAATATTTTTTTATTTTTATAAAAATGCCCCCATATAGAATGGATAGAAAGTCTGCTAGAATAAAAGCAGAGTTAGAAAGATATGGTTGGAGAGTTTCGAAGAAGTTTAAATATAGGAAGGGAAGACCCATAAAAGTCTATGACAAACTGTCTGGTCTTCGCTACGAAATGGACTTGGAAACAGCACGGCCAAATTATCCAAACAGACTAGAGAGGTTAGAAGAAGAACGTCTTATGGACATGCCTTTCGATGTTAGTGAACCTCAAGTTGAAGGACACGACGGCTTTGCCAGATTCTACTGGAAACATGACGAACAATTGCATCCTTTGAGAAGGAAAAAAGGAAAAGGTGAAGAGACATGCTCCCATGGAAAGAACAAGATATGCATATGAAAAGTATCGTGAAGTTAGAAGTCAAATTACATCTGGTCGAACCTTTACAGTAAACTTTGACGAAGGAAAGAACAAAGAAGGCTTCATGGGTGTACTTGCTGCATTCAAGACGGAAATAAGAAAGGATACAATCTCAGAACCATAACAGATTTGGATGGTCATATTTACTATGCACATGGCAATGTCACAACAGCGCACAACTTCTTGACGCTTTCAAGACTACAAAGAGAGAACAAATGGTTGACTCCGACTCAGACATTTTGAATGCAATTGAAGGAATTGCAAGTGTCAAGTTCGAATGGTACCAACCTAACCCTCAAGCAGTCAGACAACATGCTGGATACTTCCCGTTCATAAATAAGTCTGACATTGACTTGACAAGGTATGGAATTTACAATTCAATTGAAACAATTGTCAATGAACCTTGTATTCTTACATGTCTCAGGAACTCTGGTCTTGTTACAGAGAGAAGATGAAGTATCTTGAGTCATGTGTGAAGACAAGGTACATTCTCAGAGGTCAATTGGCAAAAATTGCACCGTTGGCAAATGTCAATATCCGAGTCAACATACTGAGAAAGGTTCTTCACATGACGACTATGTTGTTGACAAAGACTTACCATGGTTGAAGATTGTAATTGTCCACAACCACTTCATGTTGAACGAAAGTCTTACAAACCCATTGTTCGGAAAAGGCAAGTGCAACATTGTCAGAGCTGTAAACATTCTTTTCGAGAAAGGTTTGTTGGAACCAATTCCAGATGACAAGCTGACAGAAACTTTTGTACCAAAAGACGAAACAAACTTTTCATTGTTAGCAAGACCAAAAGTTGTTCCAGACAAAGTTCTAGTACAAAAGAAGTACACAATTCCAAAAGGAGTTGGATTGTTCGGATACCAACCTGAACCAGAAGAACTTCCAATGAGGTTGCAAGAACTTCAAGATGCTATAAACAAACTTCCATTGAGACATCCAATTGACGTCAAATTGTATTGGAGAGCATCTGAGTTAGGTCAGAAGGTTTTATATGAAACAGGTTGCTTCGACGATGTTTATGAGATAACAGGAGAAGTTTCTCAGAAGATAAGAGACTCACTTGAATTTCCACAAACTGGACCAATTGGTTGCGACAAGTTCGACTCAGATGAAAAGATATACTATGTCGACCTTAACGCTGCTACATGAGGTTCGTCCAATATATCCCGACTGGAATTCCAAACGAAGATGGTGAGTTCCCAGGAAGGAACTATACAGTTGGAAAAGTCATACAACAACTGTATGATATTAGGAAAGCTTCAAACCCCAAACTTGCAATGACACTCAAATTGCTTATGAATTCGACATGGGGATATTCCATTAAGAAACCTCAAGAGATGAAGAGTAAACATTATGAGAAGGTCGACAACTTTGTTGAAAGGTTTTCTCCTTTTGTTTTGAAGTACGAATTCACTCAAGGTCAAAGTGGCTTAGTAACCACATTAAAACCTATTGTCGAACATTGGTCTTACCCTCAGTTCGCAAAGGCAGTCCTTGACAACTACAACAAATTCTTCTCCGAAGTCAAATCCAAAGTGAAGGTTTACTATGAGAACATTGACGCACTCATGACGAACGAAGAAGGTACAACAAACTCATTGAAATGGGCATGGTCGGTGAAAAGATGGGTCAATTCAAATTGGACAAAATTTTCACCGAAGTTCATGTAATATCGAAAAGGAAGTACTGGGTGTTAAAGAAGATGGTGAAATATAAACATTGCATGAAATAAAAAATTTTTATTCGAATTTGAATCGGACAGGTCGAGTTACACCATTCTTGGTCTCAAACTCATATATAACCTGTTTGTCTGTATTTTCGTCGACTATGGCACGAGACACGAACATTGACCAAACGGACAAAAAGTGTCATTTCGGATGGTCAGCAGCCAATCGCATTCGAGCACTTCGAAGAAGCCTTACGTTCCAAGGGAGAGGGTGTCTGGTGCAAGGCAGAGGTCATGAGACTCTACGAGCAGTACATCCTCAATGCCTGGGAGGACAAATCGTCCTTGGATTGGCAATTCTACCAACTCCTCTGGGACGACCTCCTACGCAACTGGGATGACGAAAGAGTCCAATTCAAGGTCGGGAACTAATTTTGCAAATTGACCTTAATTTCACATACTTATCCAAATAAACACCTAAATTTACTGGGGTTTCCCCCTAAAATAAAATTTTTTTACTCTTAGAACCACTCGAGGTTCTCCTTACGGTTGTTGAGCTTGTCACCGTCAATGTGTCTGACCTTCGTCTTCTTGCTGGATTTGGAACCCATTGAATTGCGACAAGCTTGCCCATGGAGATTGAACCGCGATTCCGAAGGTTAAGGTTCAAGTGTCCCAAGTTGTTGAGGACTGGGGTAAGAACCTTGCCTGTCTCCTTGTTGCGGATTTGTATGGGTAGGGTTGGGAAATTTCGTAAGTGTCATCGGCAACAAGGGTTGCCCAAACTTCCTCTTCTTCGTGTTTCTCTTCTTCCTCTTCTTCTCAGAGATTTTCCTTTCCTTTTGGTAAACCGTGAACGTGGTATTCTTTTCTGAATGCTTTTGTCTTTTTGCTTCAAAGCTTGTTCTCTAGCTCTTCACGTTCTTGTCTTGAATGTTTCATCTAACCATCATGAAAATATAACAAGCATGAACGGAGTGAAGCCCACATTGCTAACGGCATTTACTAGAAGTCTATGTACATACCAACTCTCAAAGATTGTGGCAAATTTTGACGATTTTTCTGTACGGAATCTCGAACCTCAGCGGTTTTCTCCCGGTCGCAGAACATATGAGAAATTCTTCTAACAAGTTCTTTTGTCTGTTGTTTTCAATACCAATGAGTGCTTGCTTTGTAGAACGAAGAGCATTCAAAGATACTGCATTTGGTACATGTCATCTTTGATCGAACGAAGTGAAGACGGAGTTGTTTGTTATCTGTATTACTCGGTATTCTTCACAGTATGGCTTCATGGAACTATAACTGTTGTTGTGTTCCTCTGTTGTTGACAATGATTCTGTCTTTTTATTTCCGGGAAAAAAAATATTTTATAAAAAACTAACTTTATTTTTTCTGTCTTAAATGGAAATCAACGATTTTCATCCCGAGTTTTGGCGACCAGGAATTTCTTACTATCGCAATTTTTTTACGGATTTTCGTACGGGAATCCTTTTCTCGGTTTTTCGCGAGGAAGCAATCTTATGCCACTTTTACTCAGATTTTCATACGTGAATTCAATAAAAATATATTTAGGTGAAGAGTGTGAGATTTCACCTCTTTTTTCACCTGTTTTTTTTTCACACTCAGTTATTTTATAAGCGTTTTACATGGTAAACGTTAATTTTTACATGTATTTTTCAGCAACTTCGTCAAATAATTTTATAGCTTTTATCTATTCATCTACTTCAATACGGTGGTTTCTTTACCTTTCGTGGGAGCACCATACATTTTCTCAAAAAACTTTTCAAGTAGTCTGTTTCAAGCAGCTCTCATCATCGTTTAACGAACACAACCTGACTCTATTTGAACTGTACTGGTCAATAATTTTGAGTATATTAATATGTCCTGTACCTATTTATTATCTCTTTGTATGAGTCCTTCGGTTTCTGAACGATGTTACAGTTAAGCCTTTCACTGCAACGTTCCGTATTGCGAATGAACCAATATGCTTTTATGTAAGTTATATCCACAACTGGGTCTAAACCATAACAAAACTATTGGTATGAAGAGACTTTGTCTATAAGATATCGTCTGTAGTTCCATAGAATCTGTACCGATAGTCATAAGCCCAGGATTTCTTGTCAAAATTTTCTGAGTTGGAAGCATTTCTAACCCAGTCGTGTGTTTTCTTTTTCCAGATGGAGAATATAATGGATGCTGACAAAGAATATTTCGTTGTATTTCTTTGAGTATCGTTCACGTGTAAATTCACACTATTCTCAACCAATTTAGGTGGTATCTGTCCTATCTTTTTAAACTGGTTGTGCAAACCTCAGTGGTTGATAAAGTTGCCTTACATACAGAATAACAATAAGATATTTTACAAACACCCCTAGACTTTATTTTGGGTTCTATCTTAGAGGAAATTTCATGGAAATTTGGTCATGGAATTTTTCAGATTGCAAAAATAAGTGTTTTAGGTGAAGGAGGTTGAGATCCTCACCTGTTTTTTTCACCTCTTTTTTCACCTGTTTATTTTTATAAAGCGTTTTTAGCATGAATTGGGTATGTATGGTAAGTCATTCCGTGAAATGTCGCGTAAGAAGCATTTCCGTAAGCTTCTATTTCTATTCTGTCAGACAAGATGTCGAAATGTTTTCGAAACGATTTTAAGTCACTTGCTGGGAACATGTGTCTATAACCCTCGTTGGACTCAGAAATATGAAATCGTCAGCAGATTGGAATACGCTTTGTTGTCAGGAAATTCTAACAGTGTCCGATCTTTTATCGTTCTGCTAGGTTTCGTCTG